AGTGAGCAGAACCAGGAGACCATTGTACATAGTAATGTGCAATGATCAATTATGATAGATTGAGCTCTTCTCAGCAATGCAATGATCCAAGACAATACCAAGGGACTCGTGATGGAAAATGCTAACCACATCCAGAGAAAGAACTGTAGAGTCTGAATGCAGAGCAAAGCTTACTATTTTCCCTTTTTCTGTTGTTTTGTATTGTTTCTTTCTCATGGTTTTCCCTTTTGTTCTGGTTCTTCTTGCGCAACATGACTAATGTGGAAATATGATTAACATGATTCTATATGTATAACCTCTATTAGATTGTTTACTGTCTTGGGGAGGGGAGGAAGGGAAAGAGGGAGAAAAATTTGGAATTCAAAAATCTTATACAAATTAATGTTGAAAACTATCTTTACATGTAATTGGGAAAAAATACTATTAAGAAAACAGATTTCCTCATTTTACAGCTTAAAAGATAATGAAAACATTGAGTTTTACAGCATGGAAAACCTTGGTTAAATCTAGTCATTGCTACCTTCATGATATCTCTCAATTAGTCCCTTTCTCTCCATTCACCATCCTACTTCAAGCTCTTCTCATTTCTTGGCTGGGCCATTGCAATACCCTCTTAATTTGCCTATCTGGCTCAAGCTTCCCTCTATCTCAATCTATCCTCCACTCAGTCACCAAAGTGATTTTCCTAAAGTACAGGACTACCATGTCACCACCACCCCCTCAACCCCCACCAATAAATTCCAACTGCTCCCTATTACCTTCAGTATCAACTATACCTTTCCAGTCTTCTTACAATTGGCAGCCTTCCACAAACTCTATGACCCAACAATTCTAGTCTACCTGCAATTCCTTTATTCTACACTCTATCTCCCATCTCCATGCCTTTGTACAGATAGTCCCCCATGCTAGGATTTCTCTTTCTCCTCACCTCCACCTCTTAGCTTCCTTCAAAATGTAGCTTAAATCCTACCTTCTATAGGAGGTATCCCCACAATCCCCAATGCCAGTGCCTCTTCCACAGAGATTACCTCCCACCTACTCTATATATTATCTTTTATATACCTAATTATTTACATATTGTCTCCTCTGTCAGAATGTAAGCTAAAGGACAAAAGTTTTTGGGTTTGTTTTTCTTTGTATACCTATTATATACCTTTGTATGTCTATCTGCTTCCTGGTACTTTTGTTGCTGTTCAGGTGTTTCAGTCATGTACAACTCTTTGTGACCTCATTTGGCTTCTTCTCAGCAGATACTGGAGCGGTTTGCCAATTCCTTCTCCAGCTCATTTTACAGATGAGAAAACAGAGGCAAACAGGGTTAAGTGACTTGTCCAGGGTCATACAGCTAATAAGTGCCTGAGGCCAGATTTTGAACTCAGCAAGACTAATCTTCTTGACTTCAGGCCTGCACTCTATCCATTGTACTACCTAGCTGTCCTTCCTGGTACATAGTGAGCACTTAATGCTTTTTGGCTGACTGACTGAAATGCTCTGTGGGTTGTATAGGTGAGTATGACATCACACACACACAATCATCATCTTCAGCAGAGTTTGCAGTATCCCATGGCTAGTTTTTAATGGATGATCACTAAGTTAAATATCATCTATTAAAAACTAGCCATGGCATACTGAGAGCTGCAAAAAGTTTCTAATATACTGAATCTGCTATAAAGAGCAATAAGTCTTTCTAAATGGCACTTCTTAGCCTGTCAATCCTCTATGCTAAGAGGATTATTTTTATATAGTGTGCATCATTTAGCAAATGACTAACACAGCTCTGTTTAACTAAACAGAATTTTCATAAACCAAGTTGCCCTTAAAACCATTTCATTGCAAAGGCATGTCAGAGAAAAAGAGATAGCTAAGTCCATTCACATAAATATTTACACCTCCCCACCCCAAAGGTAGACATAACAAGAGGATACTGAGAAGATGGAAAAGTAGCATGAGGTCAGAGAGAGAGTCAGGCTTAGAGTCAAAAACACATGGATTTAAGCCCTGTACTAATACATCTTAATCATTACCATCTTCACCGATAGGATGACAACTCATTTGTATATGGAGCATTAAGGTTAGCCAAATACTTTACCTGCATTATTTCATTTGATTCTCAAACTCTATAGACATGTGTCATTATTATCTCCATGTTACAAATGAGGAAATGAAGGCTGAAAGAGGTTAAGCGTCAAGGGTTAAGGGTCTTTGACCAAGGTTAAAGAACTAGTAAATGTCTGAGGTAGAATCTGAAAACAAGTCTTTCTAACAAAGGAAGTCCAGTGCTCTATGCCCCACTGCTCCACACACTAGCTGACTGACCATGGGCAAAGCACTTAACCTCTCAGTCTCCCTCTCAACTCTCTAAGAGGAAAAGAATATGAAAGAATATAAGTTCCTTGATGGTGGAGATGATGCCATTTTTCTCTTCATATCTCCAAAACCTAGAAGAGTACTGGGTACAAGTTAAGCATTTAATAAATTCTTTTTTGAAAAAAAAAATAAATTCTTTTTTGAATAAATGAATGAAGTGACAGACACACTGTTGATATGCGTTATTAGAAGGGAGTTGCTGACACTGATAAACTAACTCACAGATCCAGACCAGAAAAAAACAAACCACAAAACAAAAATAACTGACAAGCCGTAAGCTTCCCTTGTACCATGTAATTTATAATGCCTGTAACCAAAATAATATATTTGCTGTAATCAATAACAGACTAATGAAAATATGGGCCTCTTAGATATTTACTTGGAAAACTAAAAACATTCATTGATTTCCATTTTAAAATAACTTCAAAAGAAAATTACTTTCATATCACAAAACAAAAAAAAAATCAAATATGACATTTTTGTTCACCAGTGGAAAAAGTTTCTTATATTTGCATATTTTGAAAGGAAAATTTCAAAACTAAATGCATGACAGCATTCTCAGTCTTGCCAGCAAATATCTGTTTCAGACAGTAGCCACAGTCTGACAAGCTGTGACTTTTTTTTAACAAATAGGTGCTTTCTCTTGCTTCGGACCCTGCTCACACAAATGTTTTAGATCAAAAAAAAAAATTTACCCCCAGGAATCTAAGAAGCAGTGCCCCAAATTGTTTTAAAGCAAATCCCTATTATATGAACCATTCTAATTTGCAATGATTCTATGGACAGTTTTCAATGTACTCTGCCTTCAGTACACACCTGGAAAAATGTCCCTGTTTTTTACACTATAAAAGCATTTGGCCTTTTTCAATCAGGTACACAGTTGGAGATATAATAAAGCCTTGGCTGTATGATTTACTTGGTAAATGTCCCATGTTCTATAAATTATCTTTCCTTAGGAAAAAAAAAACTTGAATTTACTCCACGCTGCACTGCATAGAAAGGAAGGAGGATGATGAATATATTTTCTAATTAAAACCTAATATCTGGCATTAACGGAAAAAGGACTGTGTGACTGTTGTAGATAGGTATATAAGGAATTACTCAAGTTTGTAAAATTTAGGGTAATCAGGTTGTATTGAAATTGCTTGACTCTAAGCTAAAATGTTTTCTGTACTATATTGCAGGGTGGGGGGAAGGAAAAGGTAGAGGAGAATCATTGAGTTCTTATTCCCTATCTTAGTTCCCAGATGTCTCATCTCCTTCTATCCTTGTTTTATACAGAATATATCTCATACAGAACGCTCAGAGGAAAATAAAACTCTCCAAAGCCAACTACAGAATTGTAATCCCCCCCCCCAAAAAAAAAGAATTGTAAGTCCTATCAACATCAAATAAGTTATATGGAGGAAGGTAGAACTACTTTGCACAGTACTTTACACTTTTCATTACCATGTTTTTGTTTCCAAAATACATAGAAGCCTTTGTAATTTTTTTTCAGATATGTTACATTTATATACACTGAGAGGTAGTATAATGTATATAGGGCTACATAATAACAATAATTACTATTATCATTATAATTATTATCATTATTTACCTACTACTCTAAGGTTTTAAGTATTTTTAATATACTGTCTTATTTGAATTATATCATATTTCATGATGTATCTGATACATTATCACAGTGACTCTATGAGGTAGTTAATGTAGGCATTATCCTCTCCATTTTACAGATAAGGAAACTTAGGCTAATTCTATTAAGTAACTTGCCTAGGATCACAAAGCCATTAAGTGCTGAAGGCCAAATTCAAACCCAAGGTTTCCTGACTCCTATCCACTACCCACGTGGCCTCTCCTATGAGGCATAGTGGCTGGAGTGCTAGACTTGGGAATCAAGAAGACTGGAGTTCAAATCTGGCCCCTTGAACTAGCTTGTGATCACAGATAAGTCACTAAATCTTTTTCAGCTCCATTTTATAAACGAGTATAATAATACCTGGAATATCTACCTTACAGGGTTTCTAAAAGGCTTAAATAAGCTAATATAAATGAATTAGTTTTCAAATTTTAAGGTGCTATATGAAAGTCAATTATTAATTAAACTTCTTTGAACCTGAACTATCAATCTGTCGAACAATCAACAAGCATTTATTAAGCACCTACTATGAACCAGACACTATGTGAGGTTCTGGGAATACAAAACAAGTATGAAATAGTCTCTACACTCCAGGTGCTTACATTCTACTAGGACAGTGGTGGGGAACCTGAGGCCTCAAGGCCACATGTGGCCCTCTAGTCCTCAAGTGTGGCCCTTTAACTCAATCCAAACTTCACAGAACAAATCCCTTTAATAAAAGGATTTGCTCCGTAAAACTTTGACTCAGACAACAGGCTGTACTCAAAAACCTAGAAGGCCACATGTGGCCTCTCAAGGTCGCAGGTTCCCCACCCCTGTACTAGGAGAAACAACATGCACTGCAAGCACAAACTATGAAGTGATTTCATAGGGCAAGGAGATTCAATTTCAGAAATACAAAAAATACCACTCTGGGTTTTTAGAACAAATGAAAAATATGAATCAGGTTAGTTAAAATTCAACAGGATAAGTAAATATCTGATTAAAGAAAAATTACCTTGTCTGTATCCACTTTTCCTCTGATAAATTCTAGCTTCCAGAACTGCAAAGCTTGCTCCAATGTTAAGCCAATTCCCTTCAGGAAAAGACCATATTGCATTCGGCCACCATGCCGAAGATGATGATGTTCTCGCAAAGCTTTATGCAACTGACGCATACAAAGAGGGAATGATTTCATTGCAAGCTGTAAGGAAAATAATTTGTGGCTATGAGGAAGATTAACTTATAATATTTATCTATAGGAATTATAAATTCATTCTACTTGGAAAAAATAAGAACTAAAAAGATACATTGAAGAATCACTGTGATTACAGAGATAGATAGATAGATAGATAGATAGATAGATAGATATGGTTTCTAATCACAGCCACACCGTTAAAGCTAAAAAGCACATACTGTACTAGAATAAAAGACAATAAACATAATAATGTAGGCCAATCTCACATCTGAAGCCAAAAACACTACTGAATTTTCTGAAGCACTGTCACTCTAAGTCACATTGCCCTAGTTTCTATACTCAAATCTATTCCTTTTTAATTGAACAAAAAAGCAAGACTAGGATGGCATTTTTCCTGCAAAAGAAAAAATAAGTGCCTCCTTGTTTGAGCATAAAAAGTATAAACAGTCAGAGCAGCTGTCAATAAAACTAATAAAGATCCAGCTCTATTCCCTTACTTTAAAGGGTTATCTTTTCCTTTCAAAAAGCAACTAGAGATGAAGGCTCAGGTCATTCACCCAGCAATACACAATAGGCACAGACCTCAGAAAGGTGTGAGACTGATGAAACAGTTGTTTCAGAAGATTAAAGGATGGACAAGTTAGAACAAGTTCCAACTAACCTGTGTGAGGCTGGTAATCAATTCTATTCCTATTTCTGGGATTCTTAAAAGTAAGCACTTTATTACAGTATTTGAAGGCAATAGGTTGGATGTGAACCCTGCCTCATTCTACAAGCATTCATAATTTTCTCTTATGTGGTTTGCCTCATTATGATTCAATTTAACTTGAGACTCAGTATATTTTTAATTAGTACATGTGACAGGATGGTAAGTCCCAGTATATTTGTTTATTAATTAATCACTCTATTCCTGAAATTTCTTTCTAGCTTTTTTCCTTTCTGTTTTTGGGGAAAGGATGGGGATAAGGGAGTAATTCAAGGTGAATGAATGGACTGCTGCCTACTAATAGTTCTTAAAGAACTCATTCATTCTACCACACAACCTTGCTTCCTCAGGTATGAGGTCGACTGAGGTTCTGAGGTCCCTTCCAGCTCTGTAATTCTAATAGTCTATGTGTCTATAGATATAGAGTAGTCTGGTGAAAATATATTCTCCATTACTACAGTGGCATTCCAAGGATACATGCCTATGACTGTAAAAATTTTAATTTCTTCTTATCCAAATGTATAAAATCTTTGTTTCAAAATATGAATACCATTTACCTAGCATATCTTAAGGAAATTTCACTTGAGGAATACTACTTAAATTGCTCTCACTTATTTTTTGTATTTTTTAGTTCAGATATGTGATTTCATCAGTACAGTACGAAAACTTCCATTACCAATGCAGATCAACAACTGTTTGGGAATCTATAATTTTACTAAGGCACTTAGAGGTGAAGGGACTTACACCAGGTCACAAAGATGTGTGTCAAAGATTGGGACTTGAACAGTAGTCTTCCTAACTCTAAGACTACATCTCTAATTACTCCTTCTCATATGATTAAATTCTGCTTGAAAATAGCTTTTCCCCTCACTCTAAGGGAAAAAAAAAAAGGTTACTAGGTATAAGAAATTTAATCATCTTGAACGCTTTTGGAAAAAGTTTTTCTTTTTGATAAATTATTCTAAATATATTCTTATAAAAACTAATCCTTTTGTTAAAAAATGTCTGTATATTTTCTATATTTCCAGAACTTAGCACAATGCCTAGCATACAGTAGACACTTAGCAAATGCTCATTGACTGATTTACATGAAAAATGAATTAGATTCTAAAGGGCATGGTACTCACAGAATCAAGCTGATCCAGTGAAATTTTTCCCATATTTCCTTGTGCATTGTAATCTTGACCAACATAGGAATGACTAGGGTAAAAAAACACACATGAAAATATTAAGATTTTTATCTACACTATGCAGGTCACTTCAAGTGAAAATTTAAAATTCTGTAAAGGTTAAATTCAAAATTACACACTATTTCACATAGAAACTTCAGCATTAATAATGATAACTTATTCACAAACTTCTTAAACAGTACATACCCTTTAACACAGTGTTATCATTATTAAGCTTATACCCCAAAGTGATTAAAGTGATTTAAGAGGTAAAGGATCCAAATGTACAAAACTGCTCAGAGTACACTTTTTCTTACTGAAAATCACCAGAAACAAAGTAGATATCCTTCAGTTGGGAATGGCTGTACAAACTGGATTATAATAAACACCAAAATGGTTGGATTGAGAAAAACCTAGGAAAATGCTGTATGAACTGATGAAGAGTGAAATGAGTAGAATCAAGAGAACAATTCATGCACTGATTGAAACACTGTAAAGGACAAAAACTTTGGAAAAACTTGAGAACTCCAATGAATTCAATGACCAATCTTGACTCCAGAAGACTAATTATGAAAAGTACTTCCTACTTGTTGGTAGAGAGGTGACAGAAAGTAGGTACAGAATGAGCCATATATTTTCAGAGATATCCTATGTGTGAATTTGTTTTGCCTCACCATACTCATTTATTTATTTAAGGGCAGCTAGGTGGCACAACGGATAGAGGTCAGGCCTGAAGTCAGGAAGACTCATCTTCCTAAGTTCAAATTTGGCCACATTTACTAGCTGTGTGACCCTGGACAAGTCACTTAACCCTGTTTGCCTCAGTTTCCTCATCTGTAAAATGAAACTGGAGAAGGAAATGACAAACCACTTCAGTATCTCTGCCTAGAAAAAGCCAAATGGGTTAACAAATATTTGGACGTGACTGAAAAACAACTGAACAACAACACTAATTTATTTACAAGAGATGGCCTTTGGTAGAGGAAAGAATGTTCCAGGGGAAGGAGAGAAGGAGAGTAGTGATAATTATGCAAAAAAAATAAGAAAAGTACATCAATGGATGAAACATTAAAAATTAAACAGGAGAGAGAAGAAGAAAGATCAGAAGGGGACACAGGCAAATATCTGATACTACCACATTCAAGTTGATACAGTACTTGGTAATTGACTATCCCCATTTAACTGATGAGAAAATTGAGGCTTAAAGAGAATAAGTACTTTATTTAAAGTTTTTCATCCAGTGAGTAGTGGTATTAGGACTCAAATCCATAGTTTTTACCAAAAAGCATTTTTCCAGAATGTTGAAAATAAGGGGGGGGGAATATATATATATATATATATATATATATATATACATATATATATCTCAGGCTTGCCCAAGAAATGTGATTATCCATCCTATACATTTAACTGGTTTTGTCTATAAGTCTATGTGGTTTGTTATGATAATGGACCTGCTAAAATATTACTTTGTAAAAATACAATTATTTGCAATGCTAGTAAATCTCAATGGCACTTAGAACAAGGCTATTTATTTTGTGATCAATCACATCAGGCATGTTACTAAGATTTAAAGCCTCCAGGGGACAGTAGCACACACAAGGGTTATAAAATCCAAAAGCAGATAGCAGTGACTCACAAACCAATTACATAAATAAATACATTTGCTCTGACTACTTTATAGGACAGGTGGATCCAAAAAACACGTTGAATAGTTCAACGAGAAAAGTTTTGATTCATGGTGAAACATTAAGCTGGAAGGAGACCTCAAGTAGTATGTGTACTGCTTTTTTCTCTGCCTTGCTTCATTTAATATTTTTAGCAAAAATATGGATGAAGACAAAGATGGTAAACTCTCAAAATTGTAGAGGACAAGAAGTTGGGCATGACAGCCAATGTGTTGGATAACAGAATTGTAACTCAAAAAAAGATAGGAATGATGGGCTATATATAAGAAGGTGACATTTAACAGGGACGAACGAATATAAAGTCTTATACTCCAGTTCAAAATAATCAACTGGAAAAGTATCAGGTAGGAAGATATTTGTAAATTGACGTGACACAGACCTAAAGGATTTGGAGTCAACTAGCATGCAATGGATATCCAAAGAAAACTATTGTAATCTTTGGTTGAATTAACACAAGTATACTAAACTATAAAGAATAGAGCAGTATTCCCTTCAGGATGACATATTTTTAGAAGTAGGAATCCAGTAGGACTGGATTTATGATTTCATTAGTATAGAGGTCTCCTGGATAAGGAAATTTCATCCACCAGGGAATCTTCTCTGCATATGGTCTTATAGGCACCAATCTGGCACCTACCTGGAGGCCCAAGTGGGCACTATCAGAGTTCTCCATATACATTTCAACCTAGATCCACCAGCTGGTGCTCTCTGATCATTTTCATATCATTTCTCCCTGCTTTTGTCCCCACTTCCTTATCCCCTTTCCTTCACTTCTAGCTCTGGAAGTAGTAATCAAGTTAATATTACTATTCTTTGAAAGAACATGTCAATCAATTGCCCTATGGCCTCCACCCCCCACGCCTGTGACTTCAGAGTCCAAAACATTCATCGCTACTCTCTTATATATGTTGTCTTCTCTTATTAAAATAATAAGTTCCTTGAGAGTAGAGACTATTTTCTTTTATCAATTGTATTCTCAACCTTTAGCACAGTTCCTAGCACATAAGAAGTACTAGATAAATGTTCCCCTTTCCACCCCAGTCCCCCAGCCCCACCCCATTTATTCTCTTAGAAGTTAAGTAACATAACCAGCATGTGTCAGAGTCAGACCTTGGACCCATGTCTTCCCAGCTCTGGCTCAGAGGCCAGCTCTCTACCTATTACACTATACCACAAGGTAACATCCAAATCCAAGCATGTTCACCATTAGCACCATAAGAAGTCAAAACCATGTCGTGTGAAGATTGGCTAAAGGAAATGTTCAACCTGGGGAAAGATGACTTTGGGAGATATTTGGTGGTCTTTAAATATTTCAAAGGTTTTTATGATCTAGAAGTTTAATTTGTATTCTGGTTGGCTGCAGAGTAGAGAACCAGGACCAATGAGTGAAAATTTACAAAAAAGAAAATTGTGGCTTAATGTAAGGAAGAACTTCTTAACAAGCAAAAGTTTCCTGAAAATGGGACAGTCAGCCTCCAGAGGTTATAAGCTCCTCATTACTGGAAGTATTCAAGTACAAGCTAATAAGCCATTTGTCACAGATTCTGTAGAGGAGATCCATGCCTCGAGCAGATGGACTAGATGAAATAACTTCCTCCAACTGTGAAATTCTACAAGCAGAGGAGGACTAGCCAATGTTAGAAAATATAAATTTATAGTGGACTGAGTAAATTCAGTTCTGAGATTTCTTCGGTAAAACTCAGCAGCCCAGTCAAGGCAAGTCCACAAGCATTTATTAAATTGTCTATTGTGTGTCAGGCACTATGCTTAAGTTCTGAGGATACAAAGAAAAAGCAAAAAAAAAAAAAAAAAAAAAAAAGGCCCTGCTCTCAAAGAGTTCAGTCTAATAGGGAAAAAACATGCAAACAACTATGTACAAACAAAATATATAATTTTTGGAAATAATCTCAGAGAGAGAGTACTAAGATTAAAGAGGACTGAGAAAGGATTCTTGCAAAAGGCAGGATTTTAGCTGGGACTTGAAGGAAACCACAGAAGCCAGGAGGCAGAGATAAGGAGGGAGGAGTTCCAGGCATGGAGGACAGCCAGGAAAAATGCAGTCATGAATTGGAGTATCCAGCGCCAGGAGCACCAAGAAGGTCAATGTCACTGAATCATAAAGTATGGGGAATGGAGATAAGTATAAGCACATAGTAGGAACACTGAAATCAGATGTTAGGATTTGTAGATTTCTAAGGCCAGAACACTGTAAAGTCAAGAAGACTGATTTAGATGGGAATATAAGTGTGGGAGTAGAGCAGAGATGCTTAACCTTCTTATTGTCGTGGACCGCTTTAGAATTATGGTGATTCCTTTTCAGATCAAAGTTTTTAAATGCATAAAATAAAATACATAGGACTACAAAGGAAACAAATTATACTGAAATAAAGATGTAAATCCCTCCTCCCTCCATTCAAGTGCACATCAGTTCATCCTAGATTAGAAGGATAAGTTTACACACAGGATGATAACACTGGATGACATATACTGGATGACATAACTGGGGAAGCAGGAGGTTGGGAGGTAAGTCAGAAGGGTATGCCAGTGCATAAGGTGGCAGAATTTGGGCAATGGAAAAATTAACCATCGATGAAATTCCAATTTGAATGATGATAAGATGGAATATTAATGCAGCATTGGATGCTGCTGCAAACTCTGATCCCAAGAGCTGTTTTTGGACTTAATGTTGTTGTTCTTCAGTTGTTTCGGTTGTGTCCAACTCTTCATGACTGTATTTGGGGTTTTCTTGGCAGGGATGTTGGACTGATTTGCCATGGGTCATACAGCTCATAAGTGTCTGGGGTTAGATTTGAACTCAGGAAGATGAGTCTTCCTGACTCTAGGCCTGGTGCTCTATCCACTGTGCCATCTAGCTGTCCCTTTGGGCTTGATGGTGGCTTTCTATCTAGCTTTGATAGAAAGATAGGACTGAACACCTGGCCCTTTCCTACCTTCTTACAACTTACTCCCTTATACACACACATTCTGATCCAGTGACACTGGCTCACCTGCATTTCTTCACACATGACACACTATCACTCTCATCTGTCAGCTTCGTGCCTTTGCACTGGCTGCCCCTTACGCCTAGAATGCCCCAGCTACTTACTTCTTTCTCTTAGTTTCCCAGTCTTCCTTCAAGATTCAGATCAATGTCTTCTCTTTTCAGATCACTTTTATAAATGCTATATATTCCACTAGAATATAATGCTCCTTGATAGCAGGGACTGGGTTTGTTTCTTTGTATCACCCAGGCTTAGCACAATGCCTGGTATAGTAAATGCTTAATAAATACCTGTTGACTAACTGACTAACCTATTCTTACAAACCTCACTCCCAGGTTGTG